ACAATTGTACAGACATGTTCAAAATTTTGTAGATTTCTGTTATACCTCATACATAAAAAGTAATCATGATTCAGTACATGTATTTAATTTTCAACTTGGTTCAATTTCAGACAATAATGATATTAAAAGTAATAATAAGAATTTAAATATAAAGTTCTAACATTAAATCAATGCTAAAGTAATGATACAATTTCAAAATAAGTGAAGCAACATGATCGATACAAGTATATATACAAATTTGAAAATGAACATGTAATAAATTATAAAACAAATTTACTGGAAAATACATCATTCTCAATCAAGCAATGTGTTTTTCTATTTTTTTTTTTGGAGTTATACGTTTATAACAAACACATATCAAGAATAATGTAAGTGCTATCTGATATAGTGCAACAACTTAGTCATTTTCTTAGTAGAATATGCTACTTTCAATTACTCACAAATTACAATTTATCACAATATCTTTACAGCAGTTACTTCTTAATGTACCAGAAGTTACATAATTTATTTCTAGAATTATTTGTTATCTGTTAATGTATTAACAGATGTTGTATTAGCTTGTATTAGATATGTATTAGCTTCAAAAGGTATCGGAAGATTAATTTACTCGAATATTAAATTATTAAAAATATATATTATTTGAAACATTCTCCATTCAGAATAAATTTTTGTTCAGCAAATCAATATATTTGATGCGTTGTATTATTTGATTACTTAAGGTAACTTAAACAAAACAACTGGTTTAAAAACTCACCGTGACGTATTATACAATCTTTGGTTTCCACTAGGGAAACCACAATGATCACCACAAGAAGACAATGTAAAAATTCTGCAAACATAAAAAAAATTATAACCATATTTTACAATTACAATTCTTTTCAACAGCTTTTACTAAAGTATTAATATAGATAAAAATATACATTGATATTTTTAGATATATTTCTTACGAATTCCATAATATTCAAACTAACAAAATATTAAAATATAAGATATTCCAAAATCAATAAAGACTTATATAATTAAATACTTGTATCACTTTAAATTATAAACTGCATAAAAATAATGTAAAGTACGTTCAAATATCTGCAAATCTCTATCTTCATGCTTGAAGAGCCATCTTCAGATCAAAGCGATTAGATCTTTAATAAATGATAACGTTCGAAATTTAAATACTCTAATTTCAATCCTTTACATTTCAATTAGTTAATCCAATTGTATCAAATAGTTTTGCATTACATTAACATTAAAAATTAATATAATAACATTTAGATAATCATTTAATGTTTTAAAAGAACATAAAATTATATAATAGAATTCGCTGGATTTAAGAATAAGAAAGGTAAAGATTGTTAAGTGGATAATTTTGTATATATTTTGACACATGAATTTTTTAAACCATTCACAGAAAAATGCCAAAAGAATATTCTACATAAAAATAATTTTTCAGTCAAAACCGATGAGTACATAATATTAATGAACAATGAAACTTGAATTACATTTAAATTAAACCAAATCTAAAAAAATATTTCAAAGAAAGGTTAACTTAATTAAGATTACAGTTAATTCTTGACATCTACCGTACATCATTTAGACACGAAAATGAAAATATCTTCCTACTGTAACAAAATTGACAAAAAATTCTAAGAAAAGTATCATAATCAGGTTTATGATATTTGTGATTACAGGAGGAAATGAAATTCGAGGACAATGTATCGATTGAGTTGTCCGCAGTAACCTTTCGTAACGAGGTTAAAAACAACATCTTTTCATTGATTCCGATTTTTCAATCATTTTTGAACCTGTTTCGTGTGTTTTCATTGTGAGAATATTCATAAAGAACAAAGCGTTAAAAATATAAAAAAATACCCGAACAGAAAAACGAAAAAGCTTTGACTCACCTGTCTTTCCGACATTTTTTATTTGTGTCACATAATTGTTGATTTTCTGGAATTCCCTTGCGTTTTTACGAAATATTCTTTACATTTGTCGCGTCTTCACCGAGGACAAAATTTTTCTAAAGAATTATCTTCCGAAGAAAATTCGGGCGTCCATGACGGCCCCGAATAGTCCGAAGCTACGTGAATTACGAAGACGATCATATAGCGGGTGATGAAATGTATTTCGAGTTTAAGTTATAACGGGATATGAAAAAACTGTCTACATTCAAGATAGATCTCTTTGTTCATTTAATTACCTGTTGTTAATGTTCAATGTTCCTTAACTTTTTTTCAAGTAACGTAAAGGATAATAATACAAATTTTATGTATCGCTTATTTAAAATTTACATAAGATAATTTATTTTGTATATATAAATTTGAAATTACATTATACCTGACTCGAATCTTTTAGTCGGTCAGAAGTATTTCCCTGACGATGACATCAAATGAGTGACGTCAAATTTTTCATTCAACTTATACAAGTAGGACCGACCTAAGAATTTGTAATGCCTTGGTCAACATTAGTAGATTTAGCCTCTTTTCTCATTCCAAATTAGTCAGCTTTAGTTTGTTTGAAATCGCATGAAATATTTCATTAATGATTAATAATAATGAATACCTTATAGTTATTTACATCAATAATTTATGTATTTACTATTAGTATTAACATTCTTTTTTTGCTCCTGCTATTGATTCTAAGGCATTCTGCTTTAGAAAATACTGCTATACACATTGAATTCAAGTTCAAGTTTGTACATCGAAAATAATGATAACTGGTCTGGGAGCCTATTTTCAAGCAGTGTTGCCAGTCGTAGCGGATTTTAGCGACGTGTGCGACACAGAGATACCAAGCATAAAATGTCCAAAATGTAGCGGAATTTTGTGTTTACCCTGAAATATTGAGTCAAACACCCAAACTTGGGATTATTTCGTACGTTCAATTTCTATGACCATCGGATTCGTGTCTATTCGGATAACTTCAGCACCGTTCTTCCTTACATCTTATCTGAAGAATAGTTTGCCCGAAATTTTACCTAGAGATAAAGAAATCAGGTGTAAATGAACACCCTGCGGTGTATTTTTCGTGACGAGATTTTATGCTGATTAAAGCATGTATAAAATACATTTTAATAATACATCACACACCTTAAATATTTAATATTTTCATTTCTAACTTCTTAATCTTAAATTAGAAATTTAAATGATTGTAGCGGCGCGTAGCGGCTATTATATTATTGTAAACTATAGTATAAACAAATTATGTTTTATAATATTTAGAGCCAAATTATACAGGGTGTCCCAAAAGTCGGGGAGGAGCCGGAAATGGGGGGTAGCTGAGACGATTCTGAACAACAATTTTCTTTGCAAAAATGTCGGATGGGGTTTCGTTAAGAAGATATTAAGACCCCGTCCAATCAGAGCGCGCGTAGACCGTTCGAGCGGCCGCGGTAGCGAAGGCTACGCGCTGGCGGCCGCGCTTGTACGCGAACAAGTGACTCGACGTGCATCGACGGACATTGACGCTGCCGCCAGCGCGTAGCCTTCGCTACCGCGGCCGCTCGAACGGTCTACGCGCGCTCTGGTTGGACGGGGTCTTAATATCTCCTTAACGAAGCCCCATTCGACATTATTGCAAAGGAAATTGTTGTTCAGAATCGTCTCAGCTACCGCCCATATCCAGCTCCTCCCCGACTTTTGGGACACCCTGTATACAGATAGAAAACCATCAAACTTTATCTTAAAAAGTTTTTTTCTATCTATGATAGTTTCGGAGATAGCCTATTGCAGCTGAAACTTTAGGAGGTCGTTTCACCCTCTAAATATAAAAACGACCAAATATAAAAAAATATGTATATCTTATTTTTCGGTCCTAAAATCAAAACAATCGGAGCTGGACACTGGCTTATATGGTATGAGGTAGTGTAGGGACCTACATATAGTCATAGGTTCAAGCAGCGTTACCAACCTAAGCTAGAGAATTTAGCATTAAGAGATTTTCGTCGTTTTTGAAGAAGGGACGCAGGAAAGAGAACTTTAAGGCTGCGCAGGAACTAAACTAGCTCCACCAACGAAGAGCAACGGAGAATAGGTGAACTACGAAACAGTTTTTCGCGTTTTTTATGCACAATAATGAAAACAAACATATAATGATTATGCATTTTGTAATCAGGGGAAGTAAATCTATCGACCTATCACGAGTTTGTTTCGAAAATTTGTAAAAAAAAAATTTGTTCCTTAAAAACATATTTTTATCATATTTTAAAGGTGAAATTGCAAAATCGGGCGTTAGAGTGGTATGCGGAGTGATATAAAAAATATTTTAGAAAAAGAATCGTGAGAAAATATTGCTTCTTCGCTTCAAAAAACTTGATGAGCTTCGTTGCTGTGAAATCTTGATGATTTGTATGGGAATATGGTTGCTCCGCTATCACGCTGTCCACTGCAGCGCTGCTGTCGTCTTTGCTGCGGTTGTTACGCTAGTAGTCTAAGACGCTTTTCATCATGGTTCAGTATCGTCGTAAGTTTAAAAAATGCCCGCGGTCATACATTTTTCTTTTAAGTAAGTGTGTATATGTATATAGAAATTGGTAAAAAAACTTCAGATTTACTCGAAGCTTAGGGTTTTGCCCATCACTGATTTCAATGAACTTTGAAATAGGATAAAACTCCCAGCTCTTGTAAAAAGGCGTGTGCAAGAAGTTATAATAATGATATAAGAAATGTGATTGATATAAGGACTTGAAAGGTGCACGAGGTATTCTGGTGGACCTGTTCAATAGTTTTATTTCTTCTATTTTTTTCTACGAAAAGCACTCTTTTGCGTTCCATCGCGTTCGAGCGGTGGAGGACACAGCGGCAGCCGAGGAGAATGGCATATATAGTATAGTAATAGGCACGCGCTATGCTACGTTATTACTACTTATATACATATACATTACTGTATACGTTGAATTCTCCGGTTTTCCCCATTTTTCTCCGTTTTTCATTATCCAATCGAAACATTCGACGTCTCATTCTGTAGGTATTTTCATCATCTACATTTCATCTGCTTCAAGGATTGATATTGCTATATTACTTTAAAATTTATACGCAAAAAACGACAAAAATCAAGATTTTCTTGGATTAAATTGTTTATAAGAAGAAAACGGAACAGAGTTGAGAGTGAAAAACATATACCTATTCATCTACGCATCCCTTTTATTAGTACTTTTGTCACCAAAACGCTGTTTTAATTCTCTACCGATTGGCCTAGTTGTATTGTTGACGATTGGAGGAAAGTTGTTTTTGTGACGTATCTCGTGCCTGTATCGGGACAAACGATGATGCTGGAAAATTCGTTTGGAAAATAATGAATGAAAAGTTTTATCTAGGCTGTTTGAAGTTTAAGGGGTTAGTCGCTGTCAGGAAAATGGAAACGGACAGTTTCTTGTGTGTTTTTTTTAAGGTATTAAATAATAATTTTTATTAATGAAATGTACATATATTACAAAGTATGTCTTAAAGAATTATAAAAGAATGTTTGTTTTAAGAAAAGGTTAATTCATTTCGTCATAACAGGCGATGGCGTGGGTGGCCACTTGCTTTGCGATGAGCAAGATTTCTTCAAACTGGCGCACCTGGAAACAAAACTAAAAGTAGATTTAGAAAATATATTAGACTAACGGGTCCCTGAACGAAGGATTTTTTATCTTCTTGTATACTTTTTTTTTATCCTGTATTGAATCGCTTAATTTTAGTGAAAAAATTGAAAATCAACTTCAAATGTAGGCCATCTTGTTTTAAATTAATTTTTTCCAAAATCCTTCGTTCAGGGACCCGCTAGACTAATCTATTTTTGAAATCTACCTTTGTTTTTTTCAGGTAAACCAGTGTAGAGAAATCTTACTCACTGAAAACCTACGTTTTTAAATCATCGTCTACGTCATCGGCTGTTATGACGATATAAATTAAACGTTTCTTAAAACAAAAAATGTTTTTTGGTTCTTTAAAACATGCTTTGTAATATACTTAATTGCTACTAATGCAAATTATTATTTAATAACTAAAAAAAATCACAAAGAAATGTCGTTTTTCCTCTTCCTGACTGCGACTAACCCCTTAAGCAGAAATACCCACAATCGTATGTGATGTGAAGTTGTATAAAGTTGTGTGTAGTTCTCATCGTAGCAAATTAGTACAAAATTATTTAATGAATAATCAGTTAGAAGTATTAGAAGTAACGGATCCTTCGATCGTAAAGGAAATTTCGGGGCATCGACTAGTCTTCGAGGACCCCCAAACGCAGGCATGCCCCCCACCCGGGCTTCAAGGGGGCTGGCCAAAAGGGACCTGGAGGTGTCGTCGCGAACGCCGTCAGGATCGTACGTCACTTCTGTTGAAAACGTCAAATCGTGAACAGTTTAGCAAAGTGACATTGAATATTGAAGGTAATTATTTAAGGATAGTGACAAGACATCGCGAAGTGTGCACCGAATTCTGTAATCAGAAGTTTTTCCTGTGTATAGAAACGTATGTAGAACAATCTGTGAAAGTTGGAACGCGCAACTCTCTCTCGTTTTCGAAAAATAAATGTTTAAATGTGGGTGGAGTGTCAAGTTGTGAAGTTAATATTTTGCCCTGGACGCGGTTTGATCCCGGTAGGAGACACTTATTATTTTTTGTTTCGATATGGAAACTACCTTTCTATTGTATACAGATTATTTTAATAAAATATCGTGTAATTTGTATGTTTTTTATCCCATTGAAAAGGGAGTTATAAAAATTATTCACAGCGTAAATTTTACATTTTTATTCTTAGAGTAGGGCAAATGCAGATTACGCTGTAAATAATGTTTATAAAAGCTTGTAGAAACTCTTCTCCACATCCTGACTCCCTTTTCAATGCGATAAAAAATATAAAAATTATACGATATTTTATTAAAATAATCTGTATACAATAGAAAGGTAGTTTCCATATCAAAACGTAAAATAATAAGTGTCTCCTACCGGGAGCGAACCGCGTCCAGGGCAAAATATTCACTTCGCAACCTGACACTCCACCGACTGCGCCACGATGTTTCTATCACATCCCCAACACGGGTACGGTCGACACTCGTCAATCGAAATTTAGATATTTTTTAATATTTATTTCTCGAAAACAAGAGAGAGTTGCGCGTTCCTACTTTCAGAGCCATGTAGTTGGACAGGGCCCGACCAAATAAAACAGGAAAACTAAGATCACCGTCCCTACTCGAGGCGGAACAGGACGGTGTAATTAAACAAACGCGCCTCATGGTTACTGATCAAAGATCAGACATTAAGTTTCTAATAGATACAGAAGCTGATATAGCTGTAATACCAAAAAGGTTTGAAGACAAAAGAAACATAGATCCTGAATTTTGTTTGTATGCAGCAAATGGTTCGACAATTAATACCTATGGCGAAAGGACACTGACGCTAGATTTAGGTTTACGCTGAGAATTTCTTCGGAAGTTTGTCGTGGCCAAGACTACTAAAGCCATATTAGGCGCAGATTTTTTGGGACATTTCAACTTACTTGTGGACATAAAACACAAGAGGTTAGTAGATGGTCAAACATTATTACGTACTAAAGGAAAAATTACTGATTCACAGCATACAACCATTACAACGGTGAGCAAAGTCTGTTGTTACGGGGAATTGCTAAAGGAGTTTCCAAAACTAACCAAGACGTCTTATGATGACAGTGTGAAACATCAAGTACAACATTATATTGTGACGAAAGGACCACCGATTGCAGAAAGACCAAGACGTCTCACGCCGGAAAAGCTGAAAGCAGCTAAGGTAGAATTTAATTTTTTATTAAAACAAGGAGTCTGTCAGGAATCAAGGAGCGAATGGGTAAATCCACTCCATATGGTTCGAAAAAAAACAGGTGATTGCAGGCTATGCGGAGATTACTGTGGATTAAATAGCAGAACTCAGCCCGACAGATACCCTTTACCTCATATTCATGACATCACGCAACAATTAGAAGGTACAAAAATTTATACGGTACTGGATTTAACGCGTACGTATTATCACATACCCATAGCAAATGAAGATCGACGCAAAACAGCGGTGATCACACCTTTCGGTTTATTTGAATTCCGTAAAATGCCATTTGGGCTCAAGAATGCTGCTCAGTCGTTCCAACGATTCATGGATACAGTATTAAGAGACTTACCTTTCGCACATTGTTATATTGACGATATTTTGGTGGCATCCGGTTCTGAAGAAGAACATGGACAACATTTACGCATGCTTTTCAAAAGATTGCAAGAATATGGTCTAACTGTAAATATAAAAAAATGTATATTCGCAAAGGATAGTGTTAGGTTTCTTGGCTACGAAGTGAACCAACATGGTGTGGCACCGTTGACAGAACGGGTCAAAACAATCCAAGAGTATTCAAAACTTAGAACAATCAACGATTTGAGGAGATTCATACCCAATGCCGCGGAAGCACAAGCACCTCTACATGCTAAGTTAGTCGGAGCAAAGAAAAATGATAAAAGGCTCGTCAAATGGACGAAAGAAACTGAGCTAGCTTTCGAGGAATGTAAAAAGCAAATAGCTAAAGCCTCGTTACTGCATTATCCCAAAGATAATGCTAAATTAGCGCTGACAACAGATGCGTCAGACATGGCAATCGGAGCAGTAGTGGAGCAGCAGGAAAACGGACAATGGAAACCACTAGGATTCTTTTAAAGAAAGTTGGACAAAACACAAAAGAAATACAGTGCATATGACCGAGAGCTACTAGCCATTTATAAAAGCATAAAGTTCTTCAGCCATCTTTTGGAAGGAAGAGATATCATTATACGCACCGACCATAAACCACTTACAACAGCATTTAAACAACGATCAGACAAAGCTACCGCACGACAACTCAGCCATTTAGACTTCATAGGACAATTTTCTACCAATATAATACATATATCATGTCAATATAATCAAGTGGCAGATGCTCTTTCCCGAATAGAGCAAGTGGATATGCCTGTTGTAGTATCTACAGAAGAGCTCGTTACAGAGTAAGCAAAAGATGAGGAATTACAACAAATTTTACAGGAAATTATACCACATTTAAAATTACAAAGGATACAGTTTGAAGAAAAAATTACTCAATTGTATTGTGATTTAAAAGGCAATAATATACGTCCTTATGTACCTAAGAGTCTATGCAGAAGAATATTTAATTCCGTCCATAATTTGGCACAACCAAGCAATAGATCCACAAAAAGGCTCATAGCAAAAAGTTTCGTGTGGCCAAAAATGAATACAGACATTACAAACTGGTGTAGAATATGTATTGCCTGTCAAAAAAGCAAAATTCATAGGCATAATAAAATAGTTCCAGAAAATATAGATATTCCTAAAGGACGTTTCGAGCACGTACATATGGACATAGTGGGACCATTACCTCAATCCAAGGGTTTCACATATTGTCTAACGATGATCGATCGATTTACCAGATGGCCAGAAGCAGTTCCTATTGAAGATATCACGGCAGATACAGTTGCATCAGCTTTGTACACAGTTTGGATAGCCAGATTTGGAGCACCGTTAACTATTACAACCGATAGAGGTACGCAATTTGAATCTCAGCTATTTGACTCATTAATGAAACTTATAGGTTGTACGAGAACTCGTACTACAGCGTACCACCCAGCTTCCAATGGCATAATATAACGATGGCATCGTTCACTGAAAGCAGCCATAATGTGCTACGGAACTAAGGACTGGGTGGAAATTTTACCTACAGTATTATTCGGATTAAGGACGAGTTACAAGGAAGATATAAAAGCGTCAGCCGCGGAAATGTTATACGGCGTTACGCTCAGACTGCCAGGAGAGTTTTTCCTAAGCGAA